ATTAAAAAGGAAAAAAGACTTCAAATTCCTCACGCGTCTCTTATTATTCAATTGGGGTGGGGTTATAAATTAATGACGTGATTATTTTCTAGAAACAAAAAGACCATAAACTTCATTATTATATGTTTATGATGTTTACTTTATCGGATGTTTTTAGTCGTTTTAACAAATTTTTTAGAACATGTTTAAAATAAAGCGTCATATTAATTATTTTATAGAATACTATTTGAACAAACTACTACAACAAAATTGGGTTTATAGGACGCCCTCAATTTCTAAGCATCTCAATAGAATACTTTATAGGACTTAATTTATAAGACCAAAATATAAAGCGTCCAATCTAAATGCGTTGTAGTAAGTTTATATGACACATTTAGGTTTCTTAACAAGTTTTCTAGAACACTTTTAATACAAAGTGTCGCATTTGCAACTTTATATGATACTTTTTAGAAAGTGTTCTATAAACTCAATTTTTTATAAGACACTTGTTTTATAAGACGGTTTTTCAAATCGTGTCCTATAAAATTGCCTCAATTTTTTATAAGACACTTGTTTTATAAGACGGTTTTTCAAATCGTGTCCTATAAAATTGCNCGGTTTTTCAAATCGTGTCCTATAAAATTGCCTCAATTTTTTATAAGACACTTGTTTTATAAGACGGTTTTTCAAATCGTGTCCTATAAAATTGCTAATGTGACGTTTTATATTAAAAGTGTTATAAAAAACTTATTAGATGTCAAAAAACGTCATATAAACTTATTACAACACCTTTAGATAGGACACTTTATTTTTTGGTCCTATCAACTAAGTCATATAAAAAGGTCGATTAAGACACTTAAAAGTTGAGAGCGTCCTATAAACCCGATTTTGTTGTAATGAACGTCTTACAAATACAAATCCCCTATAAAAATAAGTTGAGAATGTGCTAAAAGCATGTTAGTTAGATAGGAAAAACGTTGGGAATTTAGAAACAATAATGATAACCGGTAGAGTTTTAACAAACGCATGATGATTTATACATGTAATTCATCCTAAGTTTCCCTCTCTCTGCTGATCGATTTCTGATCAATCCCTCTCTCGATTGGCTTCCTGTCTTGCTCCATCCTTCTCGACAGTTTCCAGTTCTGCTTCCACTCGATCGATCGACTTCTGCTCTCTCTCTGTTTCTGGTTCTGCCCTCCGATTTCTGTCCTCTGGTTCTCGTCCCCGTCTCCCTCTCCTCGACAGTTTTTCCAATCGATCCCAGAAAACCACCAGACGTGCAGCTTCATCATCATAATTCCGTATCTGGAACAACGTGATTTCATGAAAACTTGAACCCTTTTGATCTCTACAATTAGCAACCCAAACAAGATTGAATGTGAGTCGAAATGTTGGACGATCAAAGAAACTACACCAAAATCTATCCTCTTTTTGCACCAACCAAAAATCAAGATTAAGGGGGTCTATTATCTGTTAAATCATGATGAAGTGTAACATAACAATGAAAAGTGTCTTATTAACTTTTAAAAATAACACGACACTTAAAAATGTCCTATTAATTTCTAATAATATAACACTTTAAAATGTTCAATTAGTCTTTTAAATAATATAACACTTAAAAAGTGTCCTATTAGACTCTAAAATAATTTGACATTGAAAAGTGCCGTATTAGACTTACATGATAGGACATTAAAGGGTTTTTTGTTTACCTTTTAGTAGTTCCATTAAGAGGCAGTATTTGAATTGTTAAGAGATGAATCATGTTTGGCAAGAAAAAAGTCTCCCACTTAATGGTTCTAAAACCTTCTAAATGATTTTGTATCTTGGGCATCCCTGAACCATTCAACACCCTAATTTCATTTTGAATAATTATCAAACAATTATATTTTCATTTTACACTATATTATAAGAGTCTCTTAATTATTCTTACCACTTAATTATTATGCACCAAACCATTCAACAACTGCCAAACAGACCCTAAGAGACATCAAAAGTAAGAGTCCTATTAAACTAAATCAAACATGACTCATAAAATAATGTGTCGTATTAGCCTTTTTTTAAATGACGGGTCTTGAAAACTGTCAAAGTCATATTAGTTCTTTTATATGACACTATTTGAACAAACCACTATAACAAAATGGGGTTTATAGAACGCCCCCTATATCTAATCGTCTCAATAAACCGCTTTATAGGTCTTAATTTATAGGACCAAAATATAAAGCGTCTTATCTAAAGGCGTTGTAAAAGNATCGATCGACTTCTGCTCTCTCTCTGTTTCTGGTTCTGCCCTCCGATTTCTGTCCTCTGGTTCTCGTCCCCGTCTCCCTCTCCTCGACAGTTTTTCCAATCGATCCCAGAAAACCACCAGACGTGGCGGCTTTTTTGGGCTGCAGCTTCATCATCATAATTCCGTATCTGGAACAACGTGATTTCATGAAAACTTGAACCCTTTTGATCTCTACAATTAGCAACCCAAACAAGATTGAATGTGAGTCGAAATGTTGGACGATCAAAGAAACTACACCAAAATCTATCCTCTTTTTGCACCAACCAAAAATCAAGATTAAGGGGGTCTATTATCTGTTAAATCATGATGAAGTGTAACATAACAATGAAAAGTGTCTTATTAACTTTTAAAAATAACACGACACTTAAAAATGTCCTATTAATTTCTAAAATAATATAACACTTTAAAATGTTCTATTAGTCTTTTAAATAATATAACACTTAAAAAGTGTCCTATTAGACTCTAAAATAATTTGACATTGAAAAGTGCCGTATTAGACTTACATGATAGGACATTAAGGGGTTGTTTGTTTACCTCTTAATAGTCCATTAAGAGGCAGTCTTTGAATTGTTAAGAGGTGAATCGTGTTTGGCAAGAAAAAAGTCTGCCTCTTAATGGTTCTAAAACCTTCTGAATGATTTTGTATCTTGGGCATCCTTGAGCCATTCAACACCCTAATTTCATTCTGAATAATTATCAAACAATTATATTTTCATTTTACACTATATTATAAGAGTCTCTTAATTATCATTCTGACCACTTAATCATTATACACCAAACATTCAGCAACTGCCAAACAGGCCCTAAGAGACATCAAAAGTAAGAGTCCTATTAAACTAAATCAAATAGGACTCATAAAATAATGTGTCGTATTAGCCTTTTTTTAAAGGACGGATCTTGAAAACTGTCCCAAAAAAGTCATATTAGTTATTTTATACGACACTATTTGAACAAACCACTATAACAAAATTGGGTTTATAGAGCGCCCCCTATATCTAATCGTCTCAATAAACCGCTTTATAGGTCTTAATTTATAGGACCAAAATATAAAGCGTCTTATCTAAAGGCGTTGTAAAAGTTTATATGACGTTTTTACGTGTCTTAACAAGTTTTTTATGATATTTTTAATATAAAGCATAGCATTAGCAACTTTATAGGACACTTTTGAGAAAGTGTCCTATAAACTCAATTTTTTTATAGAGCACTTGTTTTATAGGACGATTTTTCAAATGGTATCCTATAAAATTGGTAATAGGAAGCTTTATATTAAAAGTGTCCTAAAAAACTTAGTAGGACGTCAAAAAACGTCATATAAACTTATTACAACATATTTAGATAGGATGTACACTTTATTTTTTGATTCTATTAACTAAGTCCAATAAAGATAACTATTAGGACGTTTAGAAGTTGAGAGCGTTCTATAAACCCGATTTCGTTGTAGTGAATGTCTTACAAAGACAAGTCCCTTATAAAAATAAGTTAAGAATGTCCTAAAAGCATGTTAATTAGATAGGAAAAACGATGGTGGGCGTGATGTTGTGGACTACGTGAAGATGGTGGTGGTGAGCAGTGGTAGATATGGAGGTGGTGGTTGAGGAAGATGTGGAGGTGGTGATGGTAGTGCTTGTGAGATAACTTCAACAACGGCTTTTTGCCAAAATTATAACCCCATCCAGCAACCATCAAAATGGACTTCAAGACTTAAATCATAAATGGGTGCTTTCTTCTAGTCCTGCATTCTTTGTTTCTAAGATTGTAGAGTGCTTGGATTTTAAGTTGCAACAGGTTACAAAACATAAACCAAAAAATGTCAAGTTACAAAACATAAACTTGACATAGCCAACCTAAAACAATGTCTTCAGTCTTCCTGCATTTCTTGAAGCAAAACATCAATGAATCAAACATCACCTAAACCCGGTTCACGTGTCTTGACAGTTTCAGTTGCTACGTACGAAGCAAACAGCAAAACATTCGGACCAACAAGATATCTATACTGACATATAGAACATGAGAGTCCTCATTACGGTAACATTGTCCAAGATCCTGTAAAAATGGTCAAAAATGAACGAAATGCAATGTAACCGATGAAGTAATTTTTGATAATTTCCTAAGATTTCTACTCTCTCTTTGTTTCTGGTTCTGCCTTCCTATTTCTATCCTCTGGTTCTCGTCCCCGTCTCCCACTCGACAGTTTTTCCAATCGATCCCAGAAAACCGCCAGACGTGGCTGCTGTTTCTGGGCTGCTTCTTGGGCTGCAGCTTCATCATGATAATTCCAAATCTGGAACAACGTGATCTTCGTTTCAAGAAATAGAATAATAATACGTAATAATAGAGATCCTAATTGACATTATGTTTAATTACATTTCAGAAGTAGCATGCAGAATCAACGGTGTTGGGTGTTTAAAGATGAAACCACACCATTTATCCGAGTCCTCATGCCTATTAAATTGCCATCAGCGCTGACAACGTGTAGCTTGGATGAGATATCCTTAACAACTAGTTTGATAATTCAACTTCATGCCTGTTTGTTAAACAAGAATCAATTAGCTTTCTCAAACTCCAACATCAACAATTACTTGTATATCGACAAAATACAAACATATAATTAAGAAGCTATAAAGGGGTTACATATATAATCATATTTCAGTTTGATCTTTCACGAAGAGTACTCAATTTCGAGTCAGAGTTTGACGATAAAACACGAGAAGAAACAAAATGTAAGAATTACCCATCTGCGATGGTGCTCAAGTCCCTCCCACTGAATGATGCTGCATCTTGTAAAGCCTTTCTCCATTTCCCTTCAAACTCTTCTTTTCTACGTTTGGCAAACGTTTCTCCAAATGCCCCACTTTGTTTACGGACTTCAGTCGGTTCCACATCATAGAAGATGGGGTAAAGGGTTTGCTCAGTCTGCCTCTTTTGGCACTCCGTAATCATGACAAGTTCGTCCAAGCACCAAGACGAAGATGCGTAGTTCTTGGAGAAAACAATGACATGGAATCGTGATTCTTCAATGGCTTGAATGAGCTCCTTGCTGATTTTTTCCCCTTTCTCAAGGTTCTTGTCATCCTTGTAAGTTTCAATGCTTTCTTTCTTTAAGAGCCTCATAAAGATGATCGACGAAGCTCTTACGAGTATCTTCACCTCTAAAACTCAGAAATACGTCGTACTTGAAGTTGGTGTTGGGAATGGATGAAGCTGAAGAAGAAGACACCATTGAAGGTATGATTGAAGGATGAGATGTATAACCCTGAAAAAGGTGATGGATATGTGATAGTGCTGTGTTTGTTTGGAGAAGATATGATTGTCCTTTGAAGAGTAAATTACAGATTTAGTCCATGTGGATATATAAAACTTACATATTGAGCCCTAACCAAAATAAAAAAAGTATGGATAGAGTATTCAGGTCCTTTTTTGCACCTTATGTGTTTTGATGAAATTTGTTTCTCTTTCTCTGCAATGCATACATACACTACTAATTAACTTTTCTGACGATCTTATCCGTTGAAAATCCTTCGAAAAACAAAGTTAAAAAAACGAATTTTAATTAATTATGTATTTAGTTAAATTTTATAATTAACCCATAAGTAATTTAATCAAATATTTTTATTTTTTAATTTGAAAAATCAACCAATAAAATATATTTTATTTTTCATTAAAATAGATTTGTAATTAATTTTTAGTTTATTTTAATTAATATTAGTAATATTTAACTTTATTAATATTTATAATTTTCAGCTAGCTTAT